AAGTTCTTATAAAGATGATGATGGAAACGCAAAGTATATTCCTGTTTTCGAGTATGCATTTATTTGACTACAAAATATTTACACCAATCTTTTATTTAGATATTTAGCTACAACTCAATTTGCAGCAACCGAAGCACGTCGTGCTTTTCCTTCATGGGATGAGCCCGCAATTAAGGCTACTTTCGACATTACTTTGATTGTTCCTTCTGAGTTGATTGCTTTGAGTAATATGAATGTGATCTCCGAAACTCCACTTGAGGATGGCAAAAAGTGTTTCAAGTTTGCAACAACGCCAATTATGAGTACTTATGTATGTTTAAAATTTTCTTACCAAGATTATTTAGCATATTAATGTCTATCAATTCGGTATTAGTTGGTTGCATTTATCGTTGGTGATCTGGCTTATGTTGAGAAATCTACTACCGGTCTTCATAACGGTGGAAACCCCGTTTTAATTCGTGTTTATGCGACAAAAGGCAGCGAACAACTCGGTCAATTTGCTTTGGATGTTGCTGCAGATGTTTTGGAATACTTTGCTGAAGGTACTGGTAAAACTGACATCTGTATTTTGTTATATCTCTTCATTAATTTATATATGTATATATAAATAATTTCAGTCTTTGGCATTCCATATCCATTACCAAAGTGTGATATGGCCGCTATTCCGGACTTTGAGGTTGGTAAGTTATCTTATTTAACTACAATATATGTTTTTATATTAAGATATATTTTTCATTTTTTAAGCTAGGTGCTATGGAAAATTGGGGTCTTATTACTTATAGGACTACTGCTATATTATTTGATCCTAAAGCATCTGATGCTAGGTTCAAGCAACGTGTTGCATACACCGTTTCCCATGAGTTAGCTCATCAGGTATATACTTCCTTAATATTTTTAAATTATATTTTAAATCATATTAGCTTATAATTTGAATAATTACGGTGAAAGTGGTTCGGTAATCTCGTAACGATGGAATGGTAATTAATCATTGTAGATCTGTAAGTGGTTACATATAGTTTTGTAAGTATTTTGTTAAATGAATACATTTTGAAACCCAGGTGGGCTCACATTGGGCTTAATGAAGGGTTTGCTACT